AAAAACTATTAAAACTATTAAAACTCTTAAACCCGTTCATCCCTAAACGATTTCATCCCTATCCGATTTCATCCCATATCTGAATTCGTGTAACTAACTGCAGATAAACACAATCAAATACAAGATAAACATCTCATTCTAAATATACAAAATCTAAAATATAATTAGTATAATCATTAAATTAAACAGAATACTTAATTATTATCTTTATAAAATTTATAATATTAAACCAAAAATAAATTGTTTTATTATTAAACTTAAATTAAATTATATCTATCTATACTATATTATAAAGCATTTGACTCATTCTCTTAAAAACAAATTTTCATGCATAAGGTACAATTAATTTGTGCATATTACTTAAAAATAAAAAATACAAGTTAATTATGCATACGTACATGTTTTTAAAGCATACCACTCCCATTAAAATCTTAATTCGTCCCTATAATTTCTCTAATCCAACTAACGTCCCTATAATCTCTCTTTTTCAAYGAGTAGATAGTCACTGTCGATTTCATATTTAATGGGTGGTTTTGACTCAATATTTCTTATAATCACCGTCAACTGTCATTCCCCAAAGCTCGGTTGCTTTTCTTTCAAAGTAAGCTTCAATCTCATGGATTTCGACCATTGCTTCTTATTGATTTATGGTCTGTATCGATTTTTGCTTTTTTCTTTTTGACTCATTATGTATCTATTTTTAATGGTTTCTTTGTCTGGTTCTTTGTCGGTTTAGGTTTACTTCCTCGGAGCTCGATTGCTTCTCATCTCCAAATCTTGATTGCTTATCTTTCAAAGTAACTTTCAACCTTATGGGTGACTGTATTGATTGACCATAAATCATTTGATAAAAACTATTAAAAACCATTTTTTAATGCATAAAGTACTTTTTGTTGATGCATATTACTTAAARTTCAAKATCACAAGTAAATTGTGCGTAAATACAACTTATTAAAGCTTCATTTTTAAATTTGTGTAACTAACTATAGATAAATATAATCAAATATGAGATATACATCTCATTTTGAATATAAAAAATCTAAAATATAATTATGATA